GGGCTACCTGCCTGAGCCGGGGGGAAGCACAGGCCGGGCACCCCTGGGGAGCACCGGCGCTGTTCAAGGCGCAACGCAAGGTTCCTGTCTACGTTAGCCCAAGTGAACCGACTCACTCCTCGAAGCCGACACGGTGAGCCACAATTCTTCCTTGAATAAAGCAGTTTTGCAAACACGTTCCATCAGTTTAGCTCCCCCCCCCTTATTTTTAAATGCACTCTTTCAGTGCGTTAATTTATGCTGTGGCATTAAACCTGTACAAACAGCTTCAAGGACACTTACTTAAATTACTCCTCCATTAAGTCAATTAAAATACTGCAATTTAGCCTAAACCAACAGGGAGCTCTGCAGAAGAATCTGAGCTGTTCTAACTGCAGCAGGACGAGGAGCCTGCGCGCGCTGGGCGCTGTACCTCCCCCACCGCCCCGCACCCGTGACAACACCAGCGCTAATGACCTGCACCCTTTCCCCACCCAAAGCAACGTGATGGCCAGAGCTCATCCGGCCATGAAAATGTAACTTGTCCTTCATTGGAAAGACACAAAGGAGAGCTTCACCAGAGGAAGACTGTAGCAGCTGTGAGGCCCGTTTGGCCACCGCTCACCAAACTTCCAATCTGCAGCCAAAACAAAGCACGTTTGTTTTTTTTAAATCAAGCCCGCATGAAGCTCTTCACTGCTGACAGTTCCTAAAAACTGAAGCCTGTCTGGCTGATGCACGCTACCAATGCAGCTAACCGCAGTAAGACAACCTTCCTCCTCTACTTCCCTCCCCAAACGCTAGGCGCAACTGGAATCACGAAACTCTACGCTTACACTTCCACGTGTAACCAAAGTACGCGAGTTTTCCGTCACCACATTTTAGAGGCACGCTAATACAGACTTCAATCAGTTCTTCTTGGAAATAAGCCCAACATCATCAAATCAATTTCATTTTTCACCACATCTGAGGAAAATTCTGTTGCATAATTACATGCTTTCACCTGTAGTAAAAAAAAAACCAACAGACTTTCCATCTACGCGGAGAAATACAATTTATTTAAATAATCTCTGATCTGGGTCTTCTTGTACAAAGACAAATTCTTCAAGAGGGGTTTGCTGATTTGTTGGCCAACAGCTCCTCTCACAAGTGTACACAATAACAGTTCCAAATTCCACTGACAGATCTAAAAACAAAGCAATAAAGGTATGTCAGGTAAAGTTATGAAAATGACAAAAATCGGGGCTATTGCTTACTGCTATACTTCAATCTTTGCCGATTCAGAAAATATTTTTCATATTCAGTCTCCTACGTACATAGCATTTTTTAATTTCAACTATTTTAAAGCAAGCTGACTCAGAATTTTCACAGAGCTTCTTCAGCGTCTGCACTCTTACCTGGCAGTATCTGTTACTTTCCAAGGCTTCAGCTAAGAGGCAATAAACCCAAACGACTCCCCAGCTCATGGAACTATCTATATTGCTGTTACTGAAGTTCACTCATGAGCAAGCCAAGCTGCACAGTCTCCA